CTATAGTGCCACTACCATCCTCAGCAAATCATTAAGTTTCATATTTCATTTTCATGTAGAAAAAAGTTTGTTACAGTGAGGATTTAGTTTGAAACAATTTCAGTTTAATTCAGTTCATTTAAATAGCACCAAATCACAACAGAAGTTGTCTCAGGGCATTGAACATGAACATTCACATACATACTAAAGCCAATTAGTAAAGTTCTCTTTCTATGTACCTCATATTAGAAGAAAAACAAAACAAAAAAACACGTCAAGGATAGAAAAAAATACAAATACAAACAAATTGAGCAGAGTAAGTAAAGACAGTATAGCAGTGTGAAGAAATGTGGTCAGTTTGTCCTCCAGCAGTCTAAGCCTAGAGCAGCATAACTAAGGGATAACTCTGGAAACCCAAGCCGACCCTAACTATAGGATTTATCAAAAAGGAAAGTCCTAAGCCCAGTCTTAAAACTGGACAATGTGTCAGCCTCATGGACAGAAACTGGAAGCTGGTTACACAAGAGAGGAGCCTGATAAAGATCTTCCTCCCATTCTGTTTTTTGGAAACTCTGCTTTTATGTGAATGTTTATTGCTGTGTGTACCTCATTTAGGGATTTTGATTAAAAAGGGTCTCCCTTGTAAATGAGTCCTCATGACTGAATGAGACACGTATAAATAAAGATTGAATGAATGAATGAATGGAAACTCTAGGAACCACAAGTAAACCTGCAGTCTACAAGTGAAGTGCTCTGTTAGGAAAATATGGAACAACAAGATCTGTAATATAAGATGGAGTTAGGTTGTTGAGAGCTTTGTAGGTTAAAGTAAGATTTTGAAATCTATTCTGGATTTGACAGGGAGCCAATGGAGAGAAACTAAAAGTGGAGAAATATGATCTCTCCTAGTTAAGACTCTGGCAGCAGCATTTTGGATCAACTGAAGACATTTTAAAGAAATATTTGGACACCCAGATAATAAACCAGTGCAATAGTCCAGTCTAGACATGACAAATGCATGGACCAGTTTTTCTGCATTATTTTTGGACTAGATATTTCTAATCTTAGTGATACTACGCAGGTGGAAGAAGGAGGTTCTAGTAAAGTTTTTAATGTGGGGGATAAAAGACATGTCCTGATCAAAAATAACACCAAGATTTTTAACATTAGAGCTGGAGGACAGATTAATGTCATCTAAGGAGGGAGAAAGACTGAAAAATTAATTCCTAAGGTCCCCAGGTCCAAAAACCAAAACTTCAGTCTTGTCTGTGTTCAACAGGTGAAAATTAAGGGTCATCCAGTTTTTATGTCTTTAAGACATCCTTGTAGTCTAAATAGCTGATTGGATTCATTGAGTTTAATGGACAAATATAATTGTGTGTCATCAGCATAACAATGAAAATTTATCCCATGCTGTTTAATAACTTTACCTAATGGAAGCATATATAAATAAAGAGTATTGGCCCAAGCACTGAGCCCTGAGGAACTCCATGAGTAACTTTGGTGTATGAAGAAGATTTATTATTTACATTTACAAACTGGAATCTATCAGATAGATATGATTTAAACCATTTTAGAGCCGTTCCTGTAATCCCAATACCATATTCAAGCCTCTGTAGTAAAATATTGTGATCAACTGTATCAAATGCAGCACTTAGGTCTAACAGGACCAGTATAGACACAAGTCCATTGTCTGAGGCCATGAGAATATCATTAGTGACTTTCATCAGTGTTGTTTCTGTGCTATGATGAGCTCTAAACCCTGACTGAAACTCTTCAGATTATTTTTTTGACGATGTCCACACAACTAACCAGTAACTATTTTCTCTAGAATAGTTTAGATGAGCGAGGAGGAGCCGATTCTCGTGAGGGGAGGGGCTTCTTATTGACTTGAAAAGTGAGGAGGAGCCGCTCCTTGTGAGGGGGCGGGGCCACCATTTTATAATGTAGCTGTTTTTTTGTTTTGTTTTCATGTAATTTCTTCTATTTAGATTTTCATTTTATACGATTGTTGTCTGTACCTCATCTGTGTTCTTTGTTTTAAACAGGTCAATCAGATTTATTTTTCTTTAGATTAATTTTTCAGGTCTCTTGTAAATGAGTCCTTGTGGGCCAATGAGACTAACCTGTATAAATAAAGGTTTAACAAAAAAAAAAAAAAAAAAAAAAGAACGTTAGATTAGATATAGGTCTATAATTGGCCAGGACTCATGAATCAAGATCAGACTTCTTATGAAAAGGTTTAATTACAGGAATCTTAAAGCTCTGTGTTACTAACCATCCTTTAAAGACAATTTAAGCAGATCCAAAATGTGGACATCAGTTAGGGTAAGTATCTCTTTAAACAAACTGGTTGGGAGGGGTGGAAACAAGCAAATAAAAATAGATTGAACTATTGTAAAGGTATTAGGCTGTCATATTTAAATGTATGTCCTGTTAAACATCTTAATTACTTAAATGTGACGTTTGATCAGGACTTATTGTTGAGGATTTAACTTTTTGACAATTTTGCTCACCTCAGAATTTATAAGGTAATGCACTGAATTTATAACATTTATTTGAGTAACTTTCTTCTCCATCTTCTTCTTTTGGCTTTTCCCTCTGAAGTCACCACAGCAACGGAGAAGTCATCCTCCTCCATCTCACTCCTCCTCCCTCCAACTACCTCCATGTCCTCTAACTGCATCCATATAGCTCCTTTTTGGCCTTCCTTTTTTCTGGTAGCTGCATTTCTAACATCCTTCTACTAATATACCCACTGTCCCTCCTCTGGACATGTCCAAACCACTGTCCCTCTTCTGGAAATGTCCAAACCATTTCAGTCTGGCCGCTTGTTGGAGACAAATATTCTGTCAACTTATTCATTAAAAAAGAACCACACGACTGCAGGAGAATATTTTAAGCAGCATTTTACTTGCAAGGACTCATTCGAGACAGATTACATGCATGGATGCATGGAACATGTCGCAGAATGAAGCACAAATAGTTTTCTGCAGATTATATACAGCAGCAGAGTCCAGCGGGCAATCCCACATAGCCAGCAACACAGACATGATCCATGGCTGTCGGTGAGTCGGCCTCCAAATGGAGATGAGAACGTTTTGGGCATGTTCTCATGGCAACCAAGACTGCAAGTCAGTAAGAGAGAGTTCCTGGCTCAAAGCAGTGACTTTATCGCACGCTGAACTTCATTCATCTTCCACGTCTTTTTCTTCTCCCTGTAGATTTTTTTGGCGCTTGACAAATAACTTTGAGCCTCCATCAGAAAGGAAGGGGGAGGTTGTTTATCTGTTTGGCAGGGGGTGGGAGGTGAAAGTAGATGGTGATGGGGGTGTTTTGTTCCAGGGACTGCCCATCTTTGCCACAGCATCTCGCTCTAACGTGCTTCAGACATGACAATTTTCAGAAAAAGATGGAGCTTAGACTATTTATTATAACTCTGGTTGTACTTGGACTATCAACATGATTTAAAGCTGCTGGTTTAAAAAAAATCGTCAGAGGTGGCAAAATCGCAGCTGCCGCCTGTTATTGGAACTAAAGGAAGCCATTTATATCAAACAAGGAAAAAAAAAACACTTTTAATCAGAGGAGAAAGTCTCAGATTTTAGCTTTTGAAAATGTACATTGCAGTGTTAAATTTGATGAGTTCACACCTTCATGCAAGTGGAAAAGATTAGTGAGCAGGAAGTTTGGCAAGTTTTGAAGAGGTGAAGAAGGGAAGGCAGTTGGACTAGTGGAGGTATGGAAAAGTTTTCCTGCCTTTCAGGAAGTCTTGTCTGATTTTTTTATTTAAAGCAAAAGTCTGAAGGATTGGAAATTTTTTTCAGTTTTAGCCATCCTCGTGCACATGCACAAACCTGTCATGAAGAAAATTTTATGGCCCATTTTTAATAACCATTCATTTATTTCAAATAAACACATTTCAGATCTGATCAAGACTGGCTCTGCAGCTCACAAACTGAACTTTTATTAAACATTTTGATGCATTTTTCCATTTCTCCCCTCAATCCCTGAAACAAACACAAACAAAACACGTTCAAACAAAACAAAAAAGAAAACAACAAGACTATCAGGGACACTGAGCTTGAGTTGTGAGTTAAAGAAAATATTCAATCTGAAAGAAGCAAAAAAAAAAAAAACACAACAACAACCAGGTTTCATGTGTACATGTCTAAATGAAAATTCACCAGCAAAATAAACTGAAGGTGAAATATTTAAAATGGTTTTCCCATGACTTTTTTTTTTCCTTCGTTGTTTTAAAGAATATACTGCAGAAACCTTTATATTTAAGTACTGGTATTTTATTGTTAAGCAGCTCTGCATAATTCATGTTAAATACTTTTAAAGTTAAAGGCCTAGCTCTTTTCGATGGGATGCATACCTCCCATTGCTGTTCAAGCTGGAGATCATTTTATCTTATAAAAAAGCATTAGACATTTTTATCAAATTTGGGCAGTAAAGTTTTGCACAATCTATTATTGCTCCAAAAATGTTTTGTGACTGATGTTCAGCTACCACCACACCAAATTGTAACTAAAGATCTCTACAACTGACTGAGTTACAGACATTTTGCATTGACTGATCTCGATTATTAGTTTATTAGCGGCGGCCATCTTAAACTGAGTTGACTCCGTTTGTATTTTCAATGCTTACTTCTTGAGTTTTATTCTGTCTCATGAGATATTTTGCTAACCTATAAAATGATAATAGCCCGTTTAAATCGATGGGCTAAAATTTATTAGTTTGATCCTCCAATTATATTTTAAATAAATGGTGAAAGTGTTTTAACAATGCTTTTTGTCTGAAGTTTGAATTTTGAAGCATTTTTATGTCAGAGTCAATGTTATAAACTCAAAAGTGACCATTTAAAAACAGTTCACTCTCTAATTTGACCAAGCTCATAAGTTAGACATTTTTTCCTCCATAATTATTTTCAGAGAATCATTTTCATCTTCTGACACAAAACAAGCAAACAAATGGTACAAAGAAGCTTTGACTTTTTTATTGTTGAATCTTGAATCCAGTTCTATAAATTATGTTTTTTACTTTCATAACTTGTTAAAAATGATATGAAAACTGAACTGTTGGTCCCATTGCCAGATAAATAAATACCACACTCTCCTACCGTTGCCCCTTAAACGATCAAACTTTCAGATTTTTCACCCAAAGTTTCATTTTTGTCCTGTTGTGAGAAAGTGCTGCAGTGCTGGCATGCCTCCTACAACAGGAATTGAAGCTCTGCAAAGTTTTAGAACCATTATGGTCTATACTGTCTGTTCTGTGACAAAAAGGCTGTGGGGTTGCTAGTGCCAAATCCGGCTGGGGCTGTTGAGCCTCCAAAGGAAGTCCTGTAGCTTTGAGAGGAAGAAAGTCCAAACCCAGTTCCAAGGCCCTGCACACCGAGTCCCAGCCCCACCCCGGGTCGCACCAGACTATGACCCATCATCCCCGTGTATGGCGCTGATCCATAGGTGAGGCCCAGACCTTCGTAGGGCCTGTGGGCTCTGTGACCTGGAGTGGGCAGCACCAGCGGCTGAATGTTCCTCCCAGGAGTGTCAAAGGAGAACTCTGGAGGAGGGCTGGTGGGTTTGGAGGGAGTTGACGTTAGCGGGTCGAGTTCTCCTCCAACTGAGGGGAACAAAACCGGAGGCAAAGTAGAGGATGAGGAGTAGCCTTCAGTAGGAAGCTGAGAAGGTGCAGCAGATGGGGAGGACAGTGTGTTGCTCAGAAGAGGTCGGGTCCAGTCATCTTTAAAGATCTGCACTGTCAGCGTGGAGACAAGCGGCAGCAGTCGGTTGGTGACGTGGGCCAGAACAAGCTGCTCGTTGGCATCCCGGCGGATCCGAACGTGGGCGGAGCCAGCCTGAAACACAAGTACACAAGAGTCCTTCATCTTTAAAATACAAAGAGACCAAAAACATTCAGATTCAGATAAAAACACACCAAACAACTTTCATTGGTATATTTTCATATTTGAAAGTGTGCATGTGGAGGTGGAGTGCTGTTGATCTCAACCAGTGATGTCATCAGGCAGTGGAATGAATACTCTTGAGAATCCCACCAGCACATTTACCAAGGAGGAAGTGGAGTCTGGGGGCTTTGGTGTGAGTTTGTCCAAACCCCAGGCTGAGGTGGCCATGGTATGGTAAATGGATTGTACTTCTATAGTTCCTTTCTATCTTATCAAGATACTCAAAGCTCTTTACAACACAATCTGTGCCCTCATTTACCCATTCATACAGCACTCTACTATATTTATACAAATACTAATTAGTGCTTTATCACATTCATACAGTGATGGAACACACATCAGAGGCAAGGAGGTGTTCAGTGACTTTCCCAGGGACACTTGGGAATGTGACTGCTGGTGGAATCGAACCCCCAACTCTTGCATTGGAGGACGACTACTCTAACCACTCAGCCACAGCCATATGTGAAGAGCTCAGCATTGGCAGGGCTCCAGGGTGGATGAGATCAACCTCGAGTTCCTCAAGGCTTTGGCTGTTGCTGGGCTTTCTTCATTGATTGAACCTTACAGAACTGTGTAGACATCAGGGGCAGTACTACTGGAGTGGCACACTGGGGTGGTGCCTCTCCTTTTCAAAAAGGGGCACAGGAGGGTATGTTCCAATTACAGGGACATCAGTCTCCTTAGTTAACCCAGTAAGGTCTATTCAGCTTTGATGGAGAAAAGAGTTTGATCGATGGTAGAACATTGGTCTCATGAGAAACAATGTGGGTTCTGTCCAGGCCCTGGAATACCAGAGCGGCTCTTTACTATTGAGAGGGAATTGCTGCCTTAAGTGGAGGAGTTCAAGGGTTTTGTTCAGAGATGGATGAATAGGGCGTGAGCGACAGATGGATTCCAGTATTATTTAGTCGGTACCAGTCCGTTGTTGCTAAGAGGGAGCCGAGTTGCAAGGTGAAAGTTTCTGTTTACCAGTTAGTCTACGTTCTTACCCTCACCTATGGTTAAAAAAACAAACAAAAAAAACAAAAAAAACAAACCCAAACTCTGGGCAGTGACTGAATGAATGATATTGCAGATACGGGCAGTCAAAATTATTTTTTTCTCTGCAGGGTAGCTGGGCTATTTAATCTGAATTAACTACAAACAAAAATGTGTTTTAAACATAAGCCTATAATGCACAGCACAAATAATTTATACCAACTGGTAGAACTGTGGTAGAGAGGTAATAGTTTGAACTTGTTTTGTAGCCACAGGGTCTATACACCTTGAAGTCATTGAGTCAATCATGAACTCCTCTGTAGGCCAAAGGATTCTAGTGACAAATGTGAGGCCATCTGTCCAACAGTTGAAGCTGGGACCAAACTGGGTCATGATGCAACAGAACAAAGATCCCAAACACATCAGCAGATATACAACCAAATGGCTGGGACAAAAAAAAATAGAATCAAGGTGTTGATATGGTCCAGACATCACCATGAATGAAATGGTGGCACTTGTAGAGAGCTGAGCAGAAATAAATATCTGCAGCCTTCAATGAACTGAAGTAATGAAGGAAAAAAGAGTGGGTCGAAATTCCTTAAACATGTGGGACTGATTAAGTCCTATAGAGCATGGGTTCTCAAACATTTTGGGTTCAGGGACCCCTTACAGAGGAGAAAGTTTCAGGGACCTCCTCAAAACCCTAACGTTTATTAAATAATTTTCTTCTAATTGTCTCTTTAATGCAATGGAAATATTTGTGCAATATAAATACTTAAGACCTGTTCTTTAATAGTGTTAATTCAATTTGTATATTTTTAAACGTGGTATTTTTCATCAAAGACATGATTAATTAACAAAAAATGTAATTTCGACTTCCAAAATTTACAGTTATGTGAAAATGAACAGTATCAAAAACCACTTTAAAACATTATCTAGTCACATAATGAACATAATATATGCATTGCCACTTTTTCAAATTGCTACAGAAAACTCTACATAAAACTGAACAGAATCAGAGCAGCACGGTGGCACAGTTGGTAGAGCTGCTGCCTCTCAGCGAGCAGGTTGCCCCGGTTCAAATCCCGGTCCGGGCACCTTTCTGGGCGGAGTTTGCATGTTCTCTCCATCCATGCGTAGGTTTTCTTCGGGTATTCCGGTTTCCTCCCACAGACCAAAAACATGCATGTTAGTCTGATTGGTAACTCTAAATTGTCTCTAGGTGTGAGTGAAAGAGTGAATGTTTATTTGTCTCCATGTGTCCCTGTGATGGACTGGAGACCTGTCCAGGGTGTCCCCCACCTCTTGCACAGCGATGGCTGGACATGGGCACCAGTGACCTCCGTGACCCAAAAAGGAAGAAGCGGGTAAAGATAATGGATGGATGAACAAAATCATAACAGCAGTAGTCAGACCAAATAACAGGGCTTAATTTGTAAACTGATCGATGCTGGAACATAAAAAGCACGTGGGTTAGTAGGGAGTCAGGGGGACCTCCCCCAGAAAAATTTGAATAAAGTAGATGCGATTTCCTGCATTTTGGTGTATTTTAACGGGTTGTTAAACATCTACGTGCTTTAAAAAATTAATAAATAAAATAAAATTTAGACCCCCAAGCACCGGGTTGCGAACCCCCGCGTGTCCAGGAACCCCAGTTTGAGAACCACTACTATAGAGAAGCACTACTGAGAGTTACTGCTGCTAAAGAAGTTTCAACAAGCTGCTGGATCAGGGGTGGTGGTAGTGTTGGCTTTGTTTGTAATACATAAAGACATAGGTTCTGTTGTGTTTTGTGCAAGTAATAGAACCTGGTAAAGAGTCTTCATATTAAATGTGGAATAAAATAAGCTGATGCAAGTAACAGGGTGAATCAGAGCAAACATTTTAGGTAAAATAATTTATTGTATTCATCATGTTTATTTAAAATTCAGCAAAATTAAACGGTTCAGTGTTTTTCATCTAAAACAGCACATTTATATTGACCTTTAACTTTAAAATTTGACCTTAAAGCACCCATGTGATTTCTTTGTTCCTTGTTTTTCTGTCCTAATGGGAACACTGAGATGTAGAAAGGACAGAAGCAGAGAGAGAGAGAGAGAGAGAGAGAGAGAGAGAGAGAGAGAGAGAGA